TCTTAGGGGTAATCTCTATTTTTATTTTTCAAAGCACTATTGATATTTGTTTTAAAAGTTATTTGAAAGGAAATGTTTATGTTGGAGACATGCAACAAAGCCAAAGGTCCATGGGCCAGAACTTAATCCAGCAATGCTCATTTTGAGGACTGAGAAATCTCTAATGGAGTAACATTCTTTTTTGGATTACATATCTCACATTTAATTGCTTACTACTTTTTCAGATATTTATTTCTAAATCAAGCACCCGAGAGCAGAAAAGTACGGGTGGACCCGGCTCTGGAAAGCTACAGCAGCCCATTGTAATGTAAGCTATAATAATCAAAATTTCAAGAATTACAGGTTTGATAATAATCCAGTCTGTGTTTATGGGAATCCATAAAATGTATGGTTTTGATTTTCTGAACATAAATATGAAACTTTTAAGAGAGATGCAGTATTTTCAAGTTTTACTACCATGTGCCATTTTGTGCTCTGCAGCTGGGTTTAAAGCATAACCTTTTTCCTCTATTATCCATGATCTTATTCAGCCACATTATGATCAAAACATTCATCACCCAATGCATTTGGATGCCATAGGAGTTATCACACTGCATAACTATGTTTTGAAGATGATGTACACTTTCTAAGTCATTTCAGGAGTTTTTTTAATATATTTTTTTGGTAAAGTTTAGTGGCACTTTTTTATTGTCAATGCTAAAAGAGCTCGCTTTATCTGTAAGCCTGGATAATGGCATGTCTACCTCCTGTGGAGTGCTCTGCATTTGTTGTGAAGGGATTTTTCTTCACATTGAAAAACATTCTGTGATCTTTAACTACTGTTGCTCACCCAGGCCTTGTTTCCTTACAGAACTCAGCACAGATTTCCTAATCTTTCTCTTTTCTACAGCCTTAACATAGCAGCTGTTTTGGCCTTTAACGACAATCCTGCTGTCTTTAAAATGAATTGTTTTGTTTTGGTAAATAAGGACAGCCTGTTTAAATGTTGGTTCCTTCGTCCATGTGCTTGGATCAGTATTTCAGCCGTTTAAGTTTAAGGAAAACCTGATATCTAATGAAATTCATATTCATTTAATTTTACATTCAAAAGTCAATTTCTAATTTGGTTTTGCATTTGCTTATATAAATATGAAATCATGAGATTGTGTCTGAAAGTTATGCATTTCATAGGGTATTATAGCTGGAATAGAGTGAGAAAGTATATTTTTCCCCTTTCAGATTAAATCGTTAAAATCATACTTTCACACATTCTTGAGTAGTTTTGATTGAACAATTAATTTTTTTTCAAATTCAAACATCTTGTGGGTTTTTATCTGATAAAATTGTGTGAAAGTACAAATCGGCCACTCTCCAGTCTTAATGTTTATTACTGTTAGAAAAAGTTAAAGTTTCAAAAACTAAAATGATTTTCTGCTAGGTTGCTCCTTTAATTTGCTCCAAAAAATAGTTTTGCTGTAACACCACAATTTCCCCATTGTGGGACAATGAAAGGATTTTCTATTCTATTCTATTCTATTCTATTCTATTCTATTCTATTCTATTCTATTCTATTCTATTCTATTCTATTCTATTCTATTCTATTCTATTCTATTCTATTCTATTCTATTCTATTGTATTCTATTCTATTCTATTCTATTCTTTTTTAATCTATTCTATTATATTCTATTCTAATTTAAAGTGCCTTTTAATAAAATATAGAGGTTTTTCCGAATTGAGCCCCCGTCCCCTACCTGTTACTGTGGAGTACCAGTTGAAAAAAGTAACTTTTAAGAGGAATCGTGATGCAAATGCTTGACATTACTGTATACTAAACTGTATATTACACTTCTTTCCCCCTTGTATATCTGCCAAAAACAAACAACAACAAAAAACAATAAAATGTAAAACAAATAAATCATAATGAATTTATACCAAGGCTTGTGGGTAAAGCAGAAATCCTTGTTTTTTCTGAATGCATTTGGCATTAAAATAACAGATCTTTAAATCATTAACAATAGTAAAAGAAACTATTTCCTATGCAACTACAGTGTAATAAGAGATTGACTAAAAGGAACGGCAGAAGACTGAGATATCTGGGCATGGTAAAAAGAAGCATTTTTGACCAAAAAAACACAACTATATTTCAAAACCTAAGAAGCTTGGTATCAGCTTTTGAAACATTTTATGCAGTTTCTATTTTACTGCTTGTATTATGGATGCATAGCACAAATCAGGTGAAATAATTAAACATGAGCCCATACTCCCATTGTTCAACCTCACCTACACTCAACAGCTAGAAGGTGGAAATAGGGAAAAACTGGTGGTTCCAGCAAGAAGATGATCTCAGACACTTGAAAATGAAACACTACAGAATTTTCAGCTGTGCTGATAACAAATCCAGTAAAAAGAGCTCTATTTCTCTATTAGGAAAGGTTTTTACATATTCAACAGGAATGAAGACGGAACCTTTTGCATAGAGACAGAAAGTGTGTGGTTGAAGTGAATTTGTGTGTCAATCTCAACACCTGCAATGGTTTGTATAGTTTTGAATGAAATAGAGAAATCCAGTCTGTATTAGAAAAAATCTTTGATTAAATTTAGATGCAATAATATTTATTGGTATTTACAGGTCCATTCAAATTTCTTTTAAAATGGCAAAATGGCTGTACATCTCTCACAGCGATAAAAAACCCTCATTAATCTCCATACATTTTCTCCTTTTTCCTATTCAGAACATTTCTAACCCTGAGGTTTAATATGGGTTTTTATTAAATGTAAACTGGAGATGCATTTCTTTAACTAAATTACAGGTACAAAAACAGAGGCTTCTGTGTGCTGCACACATTTTAAATCTCCCCAGGGGCAAACCAAGGATGTTTGGCTTTTTAAATGAAACTGACATGACATGATTTAAGGGGCTGCTTTCCAGCCTACAAGAGCTATTGAGAGACGGAGATCCAGTGTAATTTCCCACAAATCCACCTTCCATCTTAATCCTTGAAAAATTTCTGAATTATCCTTCCTAAATAGGGAGAAAATGGGTTATTTGATTAAACTGTGATCCACTTAGTCCTTTGATTCTGAACAAGAAAAGCAGAAAATAAATGCCTTTGATATCTTTATCAAAGGAAACAAACATGCCTCTACCGCATCTAAGCACTTCAGTATAGCTCTACACAAGGGCTTTGAGCTAAAAGTAGTATTTTGACCTGAAAGTTGTAACAGCTCATCTTGATGAGTATTAAGTGTCCTAGAAGTCCATCAGTGCTGCATAAAATGTCTTGGGCCAAAGCATTTATAGTAGCCTAATGATTGTGCAATATTAAAACAGACAAATGCCTATGGGAGACTTAAAAAAATACCTTTACTGAAGTTAATTGGACTCCTTCTATTGTCAGACTGTCATATTCCAGGCACAAACCAACTGTGCAGCACTTTGCTAGTGTACACAAACCATTTTGCAATCTTTACATCTCTTAATGGTGTTTTATTGGTGTTGTATGTAGAAATACACAAAGTAGAGCAAACATGTAAGGTGGAATAAGCATGATGCTAAGAAGTGAGGCATGCATTAATATTTACCCCCAACGTACTTTGAATAACTGATCAAAAGTGCAGTTACAACACAGCAGCAAGACCTGCCTGGAGATCAAGCTGTAAAACTCTTTTTTTCTTTGCAAAGTTGTAAAAGTTAAGTTAGAATTCATGGAGATCGACTTTACAATTTTACTTAAAATCTTCCAATAGACTATTTTAAAAGTGAACTTTAACTGGGCCTAAAAATGGAACAGATCTAAAGTCATAAGGTGACTAGACTACAATCTTTTGGAGCCTGAATGATTTTCTTCCACTTTCTCCCTGTATTAAGCTTGACCCATCCTCTGAATAAATCACATCAGTTCAGGTGTTCCTGAACTGATGTGATTTAAGCTTATAATGATATTATAAGGGTATCAACCGTTGGTTTTGGCTAATATTGATCTGATCACTAACAGTTAACTGTAGCAGTTGAATTGTATCCTCATATGGCTGGTTATTACTTAATTGTGACCAAAAGAGAAAAGGTAAGTGACATTCCAGCTTATCTAGACACAGCTTAACAATGTTCTCTAGTTCATACCATTGATTCCATTACACGTGCACTATTCAAAAACAGGAGAATATCAAAATTCTCCTGTGAGGTGACATAACTATAGGTTTCACAGATTTTATATCTATACCGCATATTTTCAACACACCAGCATACCTCGCCAGAAGGATAACAGTGGGAGAGTCTGTGGGGTTCTGCATCTACAGTGTCTTGGGTGAGCCCCTCCTGGCCCATTACCACAGCTATCTCTACAGTTGGCCTTTTATGGTTGCTTTCACTACATAAACCCCCACAGAAACAGTTGGTTTCTTCTTTCCGATATGGATATTGTGTAGAATTCAAATTGAACTTCATGTATCGCCAGGTCAGTGCCCAGCTACTTTAACTAAAAGAAAAGAATATATCACATAAACGATGGGCCTCACCTTACATGGACACTAAGTCCATGACAGAATCCATAAGCCTAAATTCAGCAGCCAACTGGGATATCCTCTAAATTCATGGGTAAGCCTGTTTTCACTTGCATAGAGCACTGAAAAACGTGTTTAGGAGGCAACTGATAGATAAACAGTAGTACCTCCTTCATGAGAACTCCAAAGAACAACTGTTTTTATATTTAGGAGTAAATTATAAAGTGTTTGGCTGTCTTCACAACTATGGTGATGTCTGAAGGTAAGGAATTATTAATTAAGGAATTTCAGAGTAAAGAGAGTTACATCCAAATTAACCTTTTTCTTTAATATAAAAAAAGCTAAACAAAATGTAAACTTAACCAATTTTACAGCTATTAAAAAATCATTACTAGATTCACTGGAGCTTGTGGTTATAAGGTAATAAATGTGAACAGGTTGGATGTATATGAAAGACAATCTATATATTTATATGAGATGTTCCTTTAAGATGATTTTAAAAACACACTATCCTGACTTACCAGACTTACCATTGTCGTATGCCAAGAATGTAGCTTCATACATGTTGTTTTTGACATAAATGGACTCTCTGTCTAACAGGGACATGGTGGTAATCTGACCATTGGTCCTGTTGATCTTCAACCAGTTAGCTGGATCTGACAGCTTAGAGTACCTGCATGTAAGACAACAACAAAAACAACAATAGTTTAATTGTGTTAAAAACAACAAGCACATTTTCCATTTGATGACTTTTGTAGCTTATTATCACCTGAATACCGACAAGTCTGAAGCTTTTATTTGCTGATGCAGAGTGGCCATTATCAGCTTGAATGCTTATTACTATAACAAGCTATAGCCGCCGAGCCCTTTTAAAGCACTGAAGTGACACGGAGAGTGGAACGTATGTTCGTCAAACATATGAAGGCAGCAGCTCATTAGCATGAAGAGCCAAGAAAACCCTGGGCCCATTTGTGGAAGAGCTCGTAAACACTCCCCTGCTCTATGTAACCACATGGCGATCGTCACTGTCATCGGCAGTAGCTGCTTTCCTTGAAGCTGAAAATAACCACTCAGATTCACATTTACAAATCTCATTAAAGCAGATAATAACTTCCAACAGCTGATCAAGTGTGCAGAGTCAGTCGGGTCTAACGAGAAATACTTAATCGTGAGTCGCACCAGACGGTCAGAGTGTCGCCATGATGACAAGAGATGGGTTCAAAGAGAGAGAAACTAAAAGAAAAGAGGTCAGACGGAGATCACAGGCGAGTTTATCTGTAAACACGGGCAGTGGAACATGACAGGCATGAAAAAGGAGTTTTAATTAAAGGAGAGAGAATCGAAGGCTGACGGCGGTTAGCCAGAGCTGTGCTTTCAGTCAGCAAGCTGATATCACCTCCAGCTACAGCCTTATTGTTTCCAATGTTGCCAGCTCCCCAGCAAGGAAAATTACCATTGGCTGCCCTAAAAGTTGCCCGAAGTCGGAAGATTATTTCTATTTTGATCCTTTAATCCAGGTAGTAGGAGTATAATAAATTACAAATGAACTTTGTGCAATAATTCAATATTTTTATGGATTGATTACTGCTTTACTTAAACCAAAACTACTATCAATCTTGATCTAACACACAATCGATAAGAATAATAAAGCTGTGTGTGAATCAAATGAGTGGATTAAATTCAGTGCAACATTTTTGGAGAAAAAAAACAAAAATTTAAATTATATGTTATTCATCTGATCAGTGGCAGCTTTGCACATTCTGCAGGATCAATGCTTGCTTGCTTGCGACGTCAAGTTGTCACCCTTATACTACACAATTCATATTTTTTACCAAATCAGTTTCATCAGACAACAATAATTAAAGCTTTTTGGATTTTTGTAAATTTGCGAAGCGTAGCCTAGCTCCTTAATTGCTGAGAGGCCATTTTTCCAGTACTCATTCCATTGATAATGACTGTATGCTGCTAGCTTCAGCCAGTATGTTCTTCTGGTCTTTTGCTTATCTTCTGGGGTTAAAAGGCAAACATTGCATTAAAACAGGGTCACCTTGGAAACAGAGAGCCTGCCATCCTTCTGAAAACTGTATCCAAGGCTTAAAGTACATATGGAGAGCTTAGGTTATTTTTACTCTACAATGGCAGATTTCATCTTTTTTTCCCAGGATGTCACATGGGCCACTCAGTGGTGTGTTGGATGTGTGATCCTAAAAAACAAAAATTAACAAATGTTTCGCTGTTTTGCAAAATTTTTGGATAAACCATCAAAAGTTTTCACAGTTTTCTTGGTTTTTCCAGATTGTTTAAAAGCAGGGGAGTGGTAGCCTAGTGGTAGCTTGAAATCCAGTGGTCCTGAGTTCAAGCCCCACTCCCATGGACTGACACTCTGGCTCCCTGAGCAAGACCCTTAGCTGCACACTGCTCCCCGGGCGCCACACAAAAGCAGCCCACTGCTCCCCAAGCGAATGGGTTAAATGCAGAGAGTTCATTTCATTGCTGTCTACTTGTGATCGTGTAATGACGATAAAAAGTTGAATTCTATTCTATAGTATTCCGAGTGGATGTTAACACTTGACTTTATAAAGACTAAGAAAAATACCTAATATTATTCTGTCATTAAGCAAATTAAACTGTCAGACTGTAAGAAAGAGAACATGCTTTAGCTGCTTTTAAATGTACAGTGGCTAAAAAGAGAAATAGGTTGCTTTGCTTTGCTGTAAAATCTTGTGGTGCTGTTGCCCAGCAGGTACAATTTAGCTCTTTGTGCTGCACTGCCTCCCCCCAACCCTAACCACCCCCCCCCCCACCCCATACCCCTGCTGCTCCTGTTTACAGCCAGTACAGTGAAATGCCATACTGTACCTCAGAGGACCCTGTTCAAGAAGCAGATTATTCATCTTTGAATTCGCCCACCTGGTTGCTTTCCATAAATTTAAAACGCTAGTAAAATGAGCAAATGTCATACTGTTCTTGGAACCTATTGAACTTTTTCATGGTTTGCCATTTATTTTACTCCTCTCAGCACTTTATTTCAAAACGTCTTACAGGGATTTGATTTTATCTACATTTCAGTAGCGTTGCATTTTCAGGTTATAAACCAACAACAATACAACACAGAGGAGAGTGGAGATAAAATGATACAAAGTTTTCAGAAACTTTCAGCAAATAAACTGACTTTATTCATTGGATATTAAAATAATAATTTTTTTATTTTTCATAAAAATTCGCTTGAATCCATCTTTCCATAAAGAAACATGGTAGTGGCGGAATCATGCTGTTTAGAAACCTTTTGAGCTCCAGGAAGAATGTTCATGAGCGCAGCAAAACGGTAGGGAAGTCCTTGATGAGAAGCTGTTCTAAATGAGTCAGGTATGGGGCAGAGGCTCACCTCCCAGCAGGCCAAAAAATATATACCTTCAAACTTTTCTTAAAATGTCAAAAAAGTTACATTTTTGTCCCACTAACCTGTTATACATATTTTGTTCTGATTTATTACATAAATTCCAATAAAATACATAAAAGTGGTGAAAAGGTTCAAGTGCTTTGCAAGTCGCCGCATGCAAAGTCTGCATATCCATCTGCCAGTCAAAGATACAGCACATGTTATCCAGCCTACCAGCTTTAAACTAAGATCTCTCTAAGTGAATTATCTCCATCATGATCTTAAACCCCAAACAAATGTCCTCACTCTGCAAAGGCTAATAATCAACACTTACAAGAAATACATAAACACACACACACCAACCCACATTTACTCGGTCTTGCTGCCTCTTAAATCCCATCAAACAGTAAAATCAGCTGGCAAACAGTCTTGGATTCACATAATCTTGTTTTCTCTTTTCTCCAGGGAGAGGGAGCGAGTGAAAAAAGGCAAGAAATTCAGAAGCATAAAACAACCAAAGCTGGCTCCTCTCCCATCCACGATGCAGGGCTTTCAGTCATGCTCTGCGGGTAATCGCCTGCATGTCGGTGGTGTGCATCTAGCAGCCTGTGTTTGTGGATTTCTGTCTTTTGTGCGCCAAGGTTAAAGCGAGGTTGCCTAAAGGGAATACAGGAGTAGAGACTATGCCGCCTTGAGCTGAACGACTGCTGGCAAAACTCCTGAGCTCACATCAATAAGAGACGCACAGACTGACAGAGAGGAAAATGAGGGGGTCAGCGGGAGGGAGCAGGAAGTAGCAAAGAGAGAAAAGAGAGTACAGTATATGAAAAGTAACTTCTTTCAAAGGGCAGATAAGCTCAGGCCTGCCTGGTTTGCACAAAGAAAAGTTGGAGGTACCTCTCACACATGAGTACACTTCCTCGTTTCACCTCTCTTTCTGTCAGTACAGTAAGATTTCTACCAGGTTTCACAGAGGACACGGCTGCCCCCCTGACATTAAGAAAAATCCATCTGTGTTGCTTGTGCTGGTAGTGGAACAGTAAAGCTGGACTTTAGTGGGCATGTGGGAGTTTCTGTCATGCAGGGTCGATGCTGGGATGGCACCATCCCCGCCGCGTGTCGCCCCGGTTAGGATGGCAGGGATCAATGAAGAGGAAGTAGGGGATCCGGGGAGGGCAGACCGACATCGTCCAGCTCGTTATAGAATGACCTCTTCACACTGGTCGCCTGGCAACTAAGGTGGGTAAGTCACTGATATGTGGGTGGGAGATCGGCGGATAATGTCGCATCATAGATTCACATTGTGAAGAAAGCTTTCAGTTCTGATTAAATGCCTGCAAAACTATATTACTGAGGATTTACGTGGAAAGTGCACAAAATATAGGAAATATTTACTTCAACTGAAAAGGACCCTTATTTGAGCGACTGCTTTAATAAAGAGGTCAAAAACGGCTGTTTATGTAACCAACAGACAGAAAATTTAAGGCCAAATATTTGTTACAGATTGTTTGATCCTATGTCAGAAAATAGGCATACCGGTAATTTAGTTTTAAAGTGTACTAAAATCATTTGTTTTTAATTCTTCAGAAGCAGTCTTGATCCATTGATATATATCTTTTTTTATTTATTCTGGAATAATGTTGTAAATTTTCCAATTTTGCATTAAATATTCATTTTCATTCACTTAAAGCTACAGTGTGTAATTTTCAGCGACATCTAACGTCCAGACTGCAGACCGCAGCACGCAGCAACATGAACACCCCCCCTCCCTCGTAGATGATGATAAATAACATAGTTATGTATAATATATTACATTTCTGACTGTATATCCCTGTAATTATTACACACTGTAGCTTTAAAGAGACACACTGTAGTTTTCTAATGATACTTCCACCTGTGGCCAAAACACAGAACTGCGGCACGATGTGATTCATTCTCGTAGCTCGCCCTTGTTCTTAATGAAAAGATTTAATAAAAAAATCCAGCTGAGTTGAGCTGGATGCCTGATGCTTCTGAGTACCCAAAAAGTCCATCTTGAATGTAACGCTACAATTTTTTGCTTGGTTGGTCCCATTTAACATGGACGCACTTGACATCACATCCACCGAACAGCGCCGGGAATTTCCAACCCAAAGTACATTCAGGTATCAGTCTGCTCATTAAATTATGTTCTATACTCATAAGGTCACAGAAAAAGGCTATTTTAAAGATATTTTTCAATAAGAACTTGCAAAAAGTCTATTTAATTTCTCTTTTTATGTCTCTTTAAACAAAGGTGCACCAACAGCGCCTTCGTGGAGTTACTGCATGTGTCATTAATAAGCTCTGTCAGTTAACATACCACAACCAAGGGCTAACAGTAGTTGATTGTAACACACTTTTACACTGAAACTAAACTGACCTCTATGCTCAGATCTGATACATATGAGGGACACAGACACCTTGAAATTGGCAAAGAGTTAGTATTTTGGCAAATCACATTTTTAAATAATTATTAACAGCCTGAAAATATATGTTTTAAATTCTATTCATATATCTTATACCAGAGTTAACAGATGTTAAAAATTCAAAGTATTCAAAATGTATTATGCTGAAGATCCTTTTTTTTTAACTCATACCTGACAACCTGATGGATGAAGTGGTCAGGATCCTGCGCAGAAAAAACTGTGAGAGTGGTTCCAGCCGGCACACCCTCCTCAAAACGGATCATTTTGGGGTTGATTGGAAAGACAGGCGGCTCGTTCACATCCTGGACAGAGATGGTGACTCCTGCCGTGGACTGAAGAGAGGACTGAATGCCGCTTGCCAGGTGGGCCTGGTTGGACACCACCACTGTCAGCATGAAGGCACGGTTCATTTCAAAATCCACCGGCTGGAGAAGAGTCCATGGGGGAGAAGGAGATACAGGGAGCGAAGAGACAAGGGAAAGCCAAAAAATCAGTAACTAGCTGCAAGGTGATATGAATCAGTGAGATAAGATTCTGGTAAAATAAAGTATTTAAATATCAACCTGCTGTCAACTCCATCAGTTAAAAGCTACAAAAGATTAAAGTAATTTATAATTTGCCTCATCATGAAGCGTGCAACTGAATAGTTGTAATCACTACCTTGACAACTGTTAGCATTCCTTCATTGGTGATAGGATTGGTACGAATGGTAAAGTGTCCAGAGGGGTCTCCGCTGACGATACGATAAACCGCGTTCCAGTTGGGGCTGTGCGGCTGATCCCGGTCAACCACTGTCAAGTTGGTGACGACCACGTTCACCTTGTTTTCAAGAACCTCCCCGGAAAACTGCAAAGGAGGCAGAGAGATGGAATATTAGAAAAGGAAGGGACGAGATAATGATGGCTTGTTTTGGTAGGAGAGACATAAGGATGATGTGGCTTTAAAAACTAGAATATTTGTTATAATAATTTGACTTATTTGTACTTGAAATATTTGCTCGCCCCCATAAACGTCCTTAGAGTATTTTATGTGATTGCAGTCATGAAAACAAACTAACCACAGCACAATTAGGAAATCAGGAACACACAAAATACAAAAAAAGCACACTTGTTTAAACCTGTATAATAGAAAATTATACCTTCCATTATTCTAATTGAGAGCTTTACTCCGCAGCATATCTGCTTGGATGCAACTCCTTAATTGAACAGATGGATTTTTCAATTAAGTGTTTACCCATTTAATTTGGATTTTGCGCATTAAGGAAATCCAGGTCTTAATAAGTAATTAGATAAGTGCTGTGATTAAGGTGGCAGTAGGAATAATCTTTGGTTAATGATCTTCATTATATTGCAATCTAAAACAACTCTCTTATAAACTAGCTGTGGAAGAAGCTCGGTGACAGCTGCAGAGCCACAAGAGGAATTTACAGCACAACTGACTACATTTATCTAGATTTTAAGGGTCAGCCACTTAAAGGTAGACACATGAAGTTTAAGCTCTCCCTCTTTCACAATAATCCAATTTTCCCATTAGACATTTTAATGTGTCTGCCAGGATTTCTTTTTCACTTCAGTTTGACTTAAACGCTGTTTTAATGCTCTCTTTCCTCTTTTCTCATTTAATTTCCCTCCAACTCTGCTGTCCCCAAAAGAATTTAGTCCTTCAGCTTAACCTTCAAAAATTTTCACAAGTCAGCCTCCCAACATGTAAGATTGTTTAATAGCATCTGGGCAAAAGAAAAATTATAAAAATGACCTGAAGAAAACTCTCTGTAAAAAGGAGTCCTTTCACAGAAATAATCCTCCAATTTGACCTTGTCTATTCATTTTCTCAGTGGAGAATGTGAAACAGCCGGAGGTGTGGCCAAAGGTTAAAGAGAAATGCTAAACTGCATTTCAACGGCCTGTAAATCTCTGTAAATCTCTTTACCCACTGAAAACATTCTGTTTAGATCAGAGCAGCTAAGGTGGTCAAGATTGTAATTCCTTCCTGAGTCTTACTGCATTCACTGTCACATCTCAACCAATCCGGCAGTAGAACGCCTGGTTGTGCCAGAGGTTTCTTCCAAATTGGAGTTTTTCCTCTCCACTGTTGCTTAATGCTTGCTCATCATGGACAGGTTCATGCAACCGGTGTTTATTCAAGCTGGAGATCTATCCTCCGGGTCGTGTGAGAAGCACCAGTATCAGCTCACACAGTCTACTGGATCTCACAATACGGCGCAAGCAGATTGTCTGGCCAACCAGCAGTCTATGGACTGAACAAACTTCATCTATCTCCTCTCCACCACCAGTTTCAGTCCTGTTCTCATACTCCTGCTTATGCATATTAAAGTAAAATTCAGTGCTAATGTTTCCTGCCGAGGTCTGAGTGGCAAATAATTGTATCAATAAAATTCTTCTATTTGTCTCTTTGTTTCCCTGTGAGTTTTTCATATTGAAACACAGCTAATTCCAATGGTTAAATTAACATGTTATTTACAAGGTTCTGTTACTGAACCCTTCATTTGACTCAGATGTGTTGAATCAGAGTAAAATCTAAAAGATACAGACCCTTGAGAATGAACATTTAAAAAACGCTTGGTTAGATTGAAGATCCAAGGATAAGTACTGCATCTAATTCTCATACCTTACAGAAAGACATCTATTCTTAAGATATTTCTAGGAAGAAATATTCGCTTCCTTGTGCTATAACATTACACTCAAATATTAATAAGAAAAATATGCCTAATTTCAAAAAATTGAGGCAACAAAACTGAAGCATATTTTTACAAGATAAGCTATTAGCATTATAATTAAACCGAGTGCAAGCTGGTGGTAAACTGTGGGAGAAGAAAATTTGAAAAAGTAACAAGATAGGGGGTCACAAAAGCACCCTATGACAGGACTCCTCTATGGAAACAAATATTGCTGCGATGGTTCAGAAAGGGCATCATATGGTCTGGAGAGGAAGCTCTCTGTTTTTCTCTATTTTCTTAAATCACTCCTTTATCTGCTGTATTTGTGGCTACAGGTCAGACATCTGCAACCTTTCCTAAGAGAAGGGAAGACTTGTTTAAATTCTCCTGTAATAAATAGGAGGTTTTTACATCTACATGTATGTAAGGCATTCTGTGTAATGGATCAAGTTAAGAAATACAGCAGATGGGACAAGTAAAAAAAAAAAAAGTATGGCAGACTGTCAGCTTTGTTAATTTTTCTCTCTAAATTGTTGTTCAAAATAAATAAATAATTAAGGGTATCTACAAAATACACATCTTCCTCCAGTACATAACTACACTTCTAATTTTATTAGCCAAAATTAAGGACAATGCAAGTACTTAAGGTAAAGTAGTTTGGGGATAATATTATAGAAGGACCATTTTTGAGATAACAAAAGTGTTTTAAGATAAAACGATGAGCTATTGATTGCTTGTTTAACAGTGGAAAGTCTTATTTATGCAGTTAATTATTCTGTTGATGCTGTTTTGATTTGCCCAACACATAATGTGAAGTTTTACTTAATTTTATTATCTTAAAAGCTACAACAGAAAAGATTTATGACGTGTTCTGAGACATGAAATAGAAGCGTGATTCCGTCTGATGCTCACAGTTTTTGTGCGTCGAGACTAAAATCTCTCACTGTCACATTTGTGAGCCCTGCCATTGTTCTTTTTAAGGGCCTTGTTTCATTTTTCCTTACATCTTAAACTGGGTTTTAAATTCAGTTCAAAGGAGAAAGTAAGGCTACAGCGCTTCACATAAATCTATTGCAGTGGTGCAGGGCACAACAGATGAAATCTACCGGCTCAGACCCACACTGAATAAGAAAATGAAAAGGTTTGACGCTCTGCAATACTAAAGAGTTCATCCTTTCTAGCATGAAGAAAGATTCCATAAAGATGAAGCTGCTTCTCCTTTGTTTTTAAACCAGACTGAACCACATCTGATTAGCAAGTTAGATTTAGATTTTTTTTAGTAGAATCTCACAGCCCTTCTGCTTCCTTCTTATGATTATCACCATTAATGACGCAATGACAAAAAGGTTGTAAGGTAGCTCTTTAAGGCAGATGCAGGGAGCTGAAAATGCACAGTTACCTTTTCTTTTCATCAAATTAGAGGGGAAAAATAAGCCATGTTTACACCAGGTCAAGTAATTTCACCTAATTAACATGCACATGTTTTCTCTTTTCTCCCATTCCATCAGAAGCCAATAAATTCATCCTTCCTGTGCCTGTTTAAAAAAAATAATTACTGAACTGTTCCAAGCTGCGCTGTTTGTGTGGGTAGGAAAAAAAAACAAGTAAGAGAAAAACGACAAAGCAGTGGAAAAAGCAAACAAAAACAGGATTTGACTAATTTTTACTCATTACCATATCTGAGTCACACACCATTAAAAGGGAACCAGTCTTTTAATACCAACCTTGTTATGGTTTTTTGAGTGCGAACAATCGCTTGCAAAGGTACTTATCTGTGGATTTTATTTTATTTTTTTACATTCAGTGATGTTACAGTCTCAAACTTTTATATATTTGATTTTGTGTGAGATCTCCTAAAGTTAGCCAATAATAGAGGTTATAAGTAGGAACAAAAATTATATGTACATATATATACATATATATATATATATATATATATATATATATATATATATATATATATATATATATATATATATATATATATATATATATATATATATATATATATATTATATATATATATATATTTTTTCCAGCTTTATTCAGCCAGTAGAGTAAATATGTTGAATCAACTTCAATATAATGGCATCTGAAATTTTGTCTCTACCAGCACATAAAGATATCTACAACATGTCTCAAGCTCAGTCTGATTATTTGGATAGTGCATTTTGCAGCCTTTAAAACATTTTCTCCCAGGGCTGCCCTGTTTCTAAGCTCCATCCATCTTTTTGTGAGCTCCCAGCCATCTTCTCATCAGCTATCTACTATGTAGCTTATTGAAGCACACAGCTTATCTAAAGCTGAAAGAAAGAGGTCAGATAAGCTCATCATGACAACAAGCTCCATCTTAGGATAACCTCTGACTAGTGCAGGTTACAAGGTTGTGAGATACATGCCGGTAAAAATAGCAACAGTGCTGACAACAACTCTGACCCCATGCATAAAGCTGTGCAGCTCCTTCAGTGACAGACTGCTGCATCCTAGGTGCACAAAGAAACGTTATGGCAGATCCTTACTCCTAGCAGCTGTTACACTTTATAACCATCACTGTTCCCAACAAACTTAATACTAAATTGTTTGGCAGCAAGAAGGTTCTGGGTTCGATTCCCGGGCAGGGGTCTTTCTGCATGGAGTTTGCATGTTCTCTAGCATTTAGCACATTAACAGTAATCTCAGTATTTGTGTGTTTTTTTTTTTCTATTCTCCCTTAACACTGGAGAGAATGAAGACAGTGTTTCACATTATCTTAAATGGATTGAATGGCATTTACAAATAACTTCCTTGGTCAAGTAACTTGTCTTAGACTGATTTCCTTACACTATTTTAAGTTAATCTATTCTATTCTATTCTATTCTATTCTATTCTATTCTATTCTATTCTATTCTATTCTATTCTATTCTATTCTATTCTATTCTATTCCTTTATGAGTTTTACTGATCCCTAACATTTTCTTGCAAATGTTAGGAATCAATAAAAGCAGAGAACAGTTGGGTTTATACTGTTAATTGTGAAAAAAAAATGCATGCTTTTCTTCCGCTTCAGAGTTATGCGCTGCTTTGTGTTGGTTCTGTTAATAACACCCGAACAAACTCAATGTCCTGCAGACATTGTATGGATGCGCAGGTCTTATTGCATGTTTGCAGCCTTTGGGCTTTAGACTGTTGAGCCCATTATGAGACTTCTCTGTGTTAAGGCATGAGGGGCTCAAACCTATTGAAACACACCAAGTCCAGTTCTGAAAGAACAAGTATGCCTGTGGGTTCAATTCTACCTCTTACAGCAGGGGGGCTTTACTCAGACCATGCGGTGAGCACTGCACCAGCACACTGGCGACGATCCCACCAAGGAGACGGGGATCACAGTGCCCAACCAAGACACACATGCTCACTCTGCAGCAGCCACAGCGTGCCTGTCTTTTAAATCTCTGACATCCAGCTTACAACGAGCAGCCACAAGAGTATATTAGATCTATCAGACTTGTCAGCATTTGATTCTGCTTTATCACCCTGGAGGTAATAAAAAATGCAAATCTTTATAAACTGAAAGAGCCCAACCTCTTAATACTGCTTCCTCATGTAAATCTATCTCAGCTCATAGTTCTCAGTGCAAAGAAAGCAGCCTTAAGGTGTCAGAGCAAAGTAGATGTGCCAGGGACAGAGACCAGATGCTTGCAGACAAACCAAACTGAGGCTAAGCAAGCAGACAGAATACAAAAGTAGAGAAAAGGATAATTTTCATCAGCATCTATACTTAACTACGTTTTTTTTTCTTACAATATTCCTTAATTACATGTTTTCAGTGTATTTCTACACATACATCTGTTAGCTGCATTACTTTCTTAAGCTTACCCCAAATAATAACAACTTATCAGTTTGTAAAGTTTTCAAATAAATTAATATTTTAAGTCAAAAGAACAATCCGTCTAAGAAATGAAATCTTTAATGTGAGAATGTTTACGTTTTTCTTATAAACCCCTAAGAAATCCCAGTTTTTAACAAAAACAGATGGTGCTATTGTCGGGACAGTTCTCTCAAAATAGAGTAAACCTTTTTTCATTCTCACTTTAATTGAATTTCTAATTACCTCATATTATTCTGTTTCCCTCGGGTACAAATATGATGTGACACAGAAGTTCACTTTCTTTTAGTTACAGTTCAGTAGAGTGGATGAGGAACCATATGTATCTGGCACAGTGAGCAGGATGGTAAGCTGCTGGAGGGAAAGAATCTCATACATTTATTTTCAGGGAAATAAATATATACATAGGGAGATAGCTAAAAGTTACTAGGATTTTAACTAGAGTTGAGTACTTCAGTCAGATCCAAAGAAGATTGAGAGTTTGTTTTTAACAGAATTAATCTTGCAACAAAGTGTGAATAGGTAGAATACCAGTTAATATTAACTGTGAAGTATAGTGTAGGATTTGTCATGCTGTGGGCCTGGTTCTCTTCCAAAGGCTCTAGAAACCTTAAGTTTATGGAAATTGCAAACTCTTACCTGAACACTTCAAGTAAAAGTGTTGGCCTCTAGCAGCAAACTGAAAATAGGTCACCACAGAGTCTTTCAAAGGGATGATAATAAATGGCAAAATTACCACAGAAATGCACATAATCAACCTAAACTTAACTCTCAGTTCATAGACTCTAATCCTGTAGAAAAATGCAACAAAGTTAAACCCTGTTTAGAGACAATATAAAGAAAAAAAGTTGAATATCCTTTTCTTTCTATTTTGAGTAATTATTACATTTTTTACACTTTCTTCATGAAATAAGTGCACTAAAAATAAAGTTTTGTCTTTAATTTCAGTTCATTTACGACACATATTTACCATATATTGTTCTGTATTTCTTGATATTTATTTTTAATGTTTAAAAATATTTTATAAAAGCTAAAGTGGTTTATTTGTATTTTGTGTTTTATTCAACTATGTTTGTGTCTTATCGTTATGGTAGTTTTCAGTTTTTGTTGTTGTAAAGTTTTTTTTTAAAGAATAATGTAATTGTAATGTTTGTGGTATGCACCCCCAGATGAATAGTCTCCACTCATGTAGAGACTAAATGAGAGCCGTACAAAAACGGAAATAAAAGAAAATACACACAACATTTTTAAGGCTTTTGTAAGGTATGTTTTAGGGGTGTAAATGGTACTTACCGTCCTGACTGTCAGTTCTGGTGGGTTGTCGTTGATGTCAGTGATAGATATGAGAGCTGTAGCTGTGTTGGAGAGCCCAAAGTTTAGATTGCCCTCCATATCTGTGGCTTGGACAATAATGGTGTACTGGGACACTTTCTGTGAACAGAAACAGAGAGGTCATGCTCAGAGATCGGTGATCCTGCAATAAATAACAGCCGGTAAAATGAACCTTCAGTCTCTCATGTATAACTTGAACTGTACATCAGTAAATTCTGCATAACTTAAAGCCTTGCACTGCACACCGATAACCCTTTCATTCAGGAACTAACTGTTCACTGGGACAACAGTCTAAATGGAGCACCTCATTTGCTCAATACCCCACAGCAAACAGCACAATAAACAAAGACAAACACACAAAGTTAAAAAGAGGAAACAAATAATTGGAATAAGGCCCATTCATTACTGTCTGCAAGTCTTGGCTTTCTGCTGTGGAAATAGAAATGGGTCATCATTCATTTTAATGAAGGTGGCACCACCTTAAGATGCACGGGAGAGCTTTAGATAATGAAAGGAGGTGAAAGGGCTTTATTTAGTCTAGTTACTTTGAAGGGGAGTGTTTCTAGAGTGTGCTGCATCGTGGGCCGCATTATAATGTCACATTTATGCCTATTGTTTCTGTCTTGAAGAAAGGCATTTATCGACAGCCTGAGAGGTGAACTGTTCTGTGCTCTTCAGGTTTTCCCGCACATCCCACTTTTTGCAGAAGTGTAGTTATGTTTCAGAGTGGAACCGTTCCTTTAAATATCAACATGAAAGATGCCATTTTAAACATTGGGAATCACAAATGTTAATCTGCAAAAATAAAAGAAACAAAAATAAAAAAAAAACCTGCTCTTTCCACTTGAGGCAGCAAATGTCCTTACAAAGAAAGTCTGCAAAAATTTAAAAGTGGTAACAGTAGAAGAATCCTTACTATTTAGTGTGATTTTATGTTACTTCTGGTGTTATATACTTCAGTACTTAAGAACTTAGTAATTACTTCCCCTCCACTCATGTGTGGTAAGAAAAAAATATATTTTTTAAAAAGGAGATATGCAGGACAGACTTTTGTGACAGACTGCTGACCTGTTCAGGATGTACACCTCTTGCTCAATGACAACTGGAGGTATACTTCCCTTTAACACAAAAACATGCACCCATACACACAAGGAACTTGCAACCCTAAATGCTGATGGACCATTCATGAAAAAAAATTGATTAATTGCTGAAAAAACTAAATTCCTGTACTCTGCTATCATAAAGGAGGCAGAACAGAATTTTGAAACTTATTATAATTCATTGCTTCATTCTGGTTGTTAAATTTGAAAAATTGAATGACCTTATCGGCTGCAGATTTAATAAATCTATTTGATTACATTACACTTCAATGGGATTGTGGTATTTTATTAAAAGAAGCAAACCAGCTTTATCTATTAATTCTGAAATGTATGCTTAAAGTGACTGAACAGGACAATATCAGTCAAGGCATAATCCTCCTGCTTAAAGTGACATGCTGAATTTTTTCTGGCAGTTTGAGGAACTTGGGAGATTTTTTGTCACGGTGAGAGAGATTTCCTCTTTTTTTTCTCAAGAAATATCAAGTGTAGAGACACTATCTAGAAAGGCTTAACATGAGAGGTATGATGATGCCTAGTCTTTCAACTTCCAAGTGACCTACATATCCAAGAGAGAGGCTGCTGTTGCACATCATCTAACTGATGGCTGAGTCAGTAAAACTTCTGGCCCAAACAAACAGGACTGGGCTCTTAGAAGTGTGTTTGTCTGTTTGTATTTCCTGAAAAGACAGTTGAGATCAGCAAGTTCCCCATCATGGCCGGTCACAATAACAACTTATCCCTGTGTGACCTAGATAAACAGAGCTTTCTGACACATGTGACAAGAGGTAGAAGCATCTGACCATCTGTAAGGTGACTGCATGGCTGAAAGAACTGTGTGCCAGGGTCCTCTGTCCACCTGACGTAGGACTCCTGCATCAACTTTAGATATTATGTTTTAGGAAGAAATGGTACATTTACAACCTAGCTTAAGGCGGCTTCCTCTATGCCATCTAGTTGGTGTGAAACTGAATGAGTTGATTTGGTCTGACAACTGAAGAAATATTAATTTTTTCAATCTACCTTCTTTTTGGCCTAGTGGGTTAGAGCAGTGCGCTTATGCTGTGAGAAGGTTGCAAGTATCCCATTCGACTCCCACTGTCTCCTCTCTGGGTTCCTGAGCAAGACCCTTATAACCCCAGATTGCTCCCCGGGTGCTGCATAATGGCAGCCCACTGCTCCCCAAGGGAATGGGTTAAATGCAGAGTTAAATTTCTCCAACGAGAGCTCAATAAGTCCAATTGTTATAGAATTAAATTCAAATAAAAATGAGAACATTTCCCTTGGAGCTTCTTAGGATCCAATACACAGAATGAAATAGTTTAATCAGTCAAACAGCTACAATTTAAAAGTCCAAGTATTTTTTCAGAGATTTAGAATTTCATTTGTAGCAGCACTGAAGTGCTTTTTAAAACATCCCTTTTTTTCAATTTATAATCTGAAGATGCAACAGAATTGTTGATTGACAGGTTTTGAAAAAGTAAGCTATTTGATGTCTAGGAATATTTACAGTGAAATTATTTCAAATTTTTTAGTGAAGATATTCTCGTTTGTAAGTCTAATGGTGGGAACGGTGGGATTCCGTTTTCACCTGTGTATGAGTGCATGTGACTCAGTGGTATCATCACAGACAAAAATATTTTATGATATGATCTGACAGGTTCAAAAGTGTTATAAAATTCAATGTCAGACATTCATTAATTTACTACATACCATGATCTTGTTTAACAGATCTGCAATTAGTTGAAAGAATAGATTTTATAAAAAAAAAATACCTATTTTGATGTAAATACAATACAGTAAAAATACTTTAAGATGTTTAATTTTAAAACAATTTCCGGACAATGGCATGTTTTTTTTTAACAGTGCATTGCATTTTGAATAAATTACCTTTACGATTAGGTCCATGTGGCCACAACAGCAATGAGTAATGTTAAACCGTTTATACTGGAGGGTCTAGAAATTTATAAAAATGTGGGATTTAAAATAAAGGAATGAAGATGAGGAGGAAGTGGGGACATTTGGCAGAAGAAGCTGCTGTTTCGGCTTCTGCAGGATGGAGAGCTATGCTACAAAGAGCTCCTGTTTCTATTTGTGGCTGTTAGGTTAGAATGGTTAGAATCAGGTTTGAAAACATTTTCTCAGATATATTGGAAACATTTGTGTTAAAATGACTGAAAGGGGCTTCACTGTCACTTTATACAGTTGCTGATTAAATTCTATTTGATTTTGATTTGATTTTAGCTTCTACCAACAGTGTTAGCTCTAGCTAATATATTAAAATGTAGATCACATGCTTATCATATTTGTTTGTTTCAAGATATATATCCTGTGTAACTCCTCATGAAACCTTTGAGGCAGTGTATGTTGTTTAAATTAACACCAGTCAAATGCAATATGATAAAAAACACCTCAGGTAATATTAACACTCCTGTGTTTACTCTGTATGCTCCAGTTCAGTTAACCCATGGACAGAGTCAGTGCGCGATATATATATATATATATATATATATATATATATATATATATATATATATATATATATATGTATTTTCATATTCTATATTTTTTTTTACAATTATAAGTTACAATCTATTACAAAGGAGATTTTTGAAGTTAATAGTAAAATGACAGCAATGACAGCAATGCCTTAAAAGTTAAGAAGAAATTGTAGGGTTTATCATTGTATTTGAGAAATTTACTCATTCTATATTTTTCTGCTGCTGCATCTCTTTCAATATATTCTAATTTTCTCTGTTTTAGTAGAGCATTATAGAGCCCAGTGCAGGAAAACAACAATACATTTTAAAGTGCATTTACATGCAGCCAAACAAAAAGGAAGCAACGACATGAAAGCAAAGCATTTGAGTCCCTGCTGACTGACTCTGTCCATGGTGCTGAAAGTTCAGGCTGTCCTTAGATTCACCACCCTCTCAGTCACTGTGTGTGTTTTAGTGTGCGTGTTTTCCACATTGGCCATATATAAGCCTGTCTGCTCTTTTGGTTTGTTTTATTCCTTTAAATCCATTTGTCTTAATTCTGCCAGAGAGTAGAAAAGGAAGTGAGAGAGAGGATTCAAATCAAGGACAGGCCACCATTCACTCGATGGGACCTGCTCCTTTGTTCTGCATCCACAATGAATCGTAGCGATGTTCCAATGTCGGGTTGGGGCAGTGCAAGCTTTACCACATTCTTTTTAAACCTATATCTCCAATGACTCTATGTCTAGGGGCACTTATGATTTCTTAAAAAAAAAAAAAAAACAAGAACAAACCCAAATAAAAGGTTAGTAATAACAGACACTGGAGATAATTCTACATTATAGCTGTTAAAGTTCTTTAGTTTTTTTCTCTCTGTTTTTTTCTCTTATTGTATTCTTTATGAATGCACATTCTGGTACTCTTTGATCTCTTGCCACATTTTTTTTTAAATTACATCTAAGCTGTTCAGTGTTTCTCTGCATGTTGTTTCTTAGCCTGCTTCTCTGGCTTTATCTCTTTGTCTCTCCAAAGGAATGTGGCGGATTGAGGGATCTGTCCAAGCTCTGAGACCAGTTAAAGCCCCCAGTAGGAGTCATTCTGCATCTCTCTGAGTCATTATGGAGTGCACCGACATGTTAATCTGATCCAACCAGCCCTATTAATGAAAACTCAATACTCGCTGCCCTTTATTAGATTCATAATGAAATATCAATACCATCTCGCCTCATCCACTGCCTCAGTAAACAGAACCCCCCTCACTAAATGTGTCTCTCTGCAGACTCATTGAGACCCAGTCATATGCATCAGTCATGAAATAGCAGCAGATGGTTATGAGAAACTAGCAGGCTGGGGCTTTGATGGATGCATCATCCTCAGGGCAGGTAAAGAGCCAGTAGGTGGTGCTCTCACACAGTTGGGGGAGGGGGGCATGTTGCTGGTGCATGCCATCCTGCAGGGTTATATCACCCATCTGAGGGTAGTTATGAGTTTAAGGCCCCCCCTTTGCACACATATGCATCCA